AATGAAATATTTTGTGACACTTATAGACTGCCACACTCGCATGACTTGGGTGTACCTCATGCGACATAAAGATGAGGTATTCCAATGTTTTCAGGAGTTTTATGCCTATGTGCGGAACCAATTCAATGTGCAGGTGCAGGTGATCAGATCTGACAATGGAACTGAATATGTAAACAAGCAATTTGGAGGTTTCCTGTCAGCACAAGGCATAATGCACCAAACATCATGTCCAGATACCCCTGCTCAGAATGGTGTTGCAGAAAGGAAAACCGACACATTTTAGAAGTGGCTCGATCACTTATGTTCACCATGAATGTGCCAAAATTCTTGTGGAGTGAAGCTGTCATGACTGCAACGTTCCTGATCAACCGGATGCCTTCAAAAATGCTTGGTATGAAGTCCCCATGTGAGATGCTATTTGGGGAGAACAAATTCTCAGTTCCTCCGAAGTTATTTGGGTGCACCTGCTTCGTTAGAGATCACAGACCAGCAGTGGGAAAGCTGGATCCACGAGCTGTAAAATGCATATTTGTTGAATATCCTACAGGGCAGCGAGGCTATAAGTGTTGGAGTCCTGCTGAAAGGCGCACATTTGTAAGTATGGATGTCACCTTTCGAGAATCTGAGCCTTTCTATGGTGAGAAGACAGATCTCAGCACTTTATTCGAAGAACTTGACCACTCACAATCTATGCAGGGTGGTCAAGAGGGGGAGTGCAACTTGAGTGGTGAGTGCAGCACCAATGGCGACAAGGAGCAGCCAATACCAACCCCGAAAATAGTGGGATCCTTCATTCCAGTTGTAGTTGATGGGGCTGAACAGCAGAGGTGGCAGAGACCAAATGAGGAAAGGAATCCTCAGGTGTATACAAGAAGGAAGAGAGTTGTGGAGGAACAAGTGCATGAGGAGCAGTCAAAAGAAACTATGGAACAGGGGGAGCAGTCAGAAGAAACTCAAGCGACAGGAAGCTCATCTGAAGTGGATCATATGAAAATTCAAGTACTGAAGAAGCATCACCTAACCTGCCAATTGCTCTCAAGAAGGAAGTAGCAAGGAAAACTTTGAGCAAGGGCAATCTTGAGCATGACATCAGTAATTATGTCACCTATGAAGCCCTATCACCTTCATTTAGAGCATTTGTCGCATCACTTCAAGCCGTGATTGTTCCTAAAGACTGGAAAGAAGCAAGACAAGATCCAAAGTGGTGTGAAGCCATGAGGGAAGAGTTGGAGGCCCTGAGAAAGAACAAAACATGGGAGCTAGCGAATCTTCCATATGGGAAGAAGGCAGTCAGTTGTAAGTGGATCTTCACAGTGAAGCAGAATCCTGAGGGTAAGGTTGAGCGTTACAAGGCAAGACTGGTAGCCAGAGGGTACAGCCAAACGTATGGTATTGATTATGACGAAACATTCGCCCCAATTGCAAAGATGAATACAGTGAGGATTCTAATCTCATGTGCAGCTAACTTTGGATGGCCACTACACCAACTTGATGTAAAAAATGCCTTTTTACATGGAGGTCTACAAGAGGAAGTCTACATGGAAATTCCTCCTGGACTTTCTACACCTGGGACTGTTGGGAAGGTTTGTAGATTGAGAAAATCTCTCTATGGTTTGAAGCAATCGCCAAGGGCTTGGTTTGACCGGTTCAGGCAAGCAGTTTGCAGTATGGAGTATAAACAATGCAATGGAGATCACACTGTTTTCTATAAACATTCCAAGCAACAGATTACTATTCTTGCAGTATATGTGGATGACATCATAATAACGGGAGACAATGAAGAGGAGATTGGAAGACTAAAGAAATGCCTAGGCAAAGCATTTGAAGTTAAGGATCTTGGTCAGCTAAAATATTTCCTGGGTATCGAAGTTGCAAGATCAAAGAGGGGAATAGCCCTGTCTCAGCGGAAGTATACCTTAGAGCTCCTAAGTGATATGGGAATGCTTGGATGTAGAGCAGCCCCAACTCCCATTGAACAAAATCACAAATTGACAGCACAGATGGGTGAACAAGTTAACAAAGCAAAATATCAACAATTGGTTGGCAAACTTCTGTACTTGTGTCACACTAGACCAGATATTACATATGCAGTAAGTGTAGTAAGTAGATATATGCATGACCCCAGAAGTGGACACCTTGATGCAGTCTATAGAATCATGAGGTATCTAAAGGGCAGCCCTGGTATGGGACTCTGGTTCAAGAGTAATGGCCATTTGAATGTTGACGGTTATAGCGATGCTGATTGGGCTAGCTGTCTTGATGATAGACGATCAACCTCTGGCTATTGTGTGTTTGTTGGTGGAAATTTGGTATCATGGAGAAGCAAAAAACAACCGGTGGTGTCAAAATCAACTGCAGAAGCTGAGTATAGGGCAATGTCTCAAGGGCTGAGTGAGATGTTATGGGTAAGAGGCCTTCTGCTTGAGCTGAAAGTGCTCAGACAAGATCCTCTGAATGTGTGGTGTGACAACAAATCTGCAATCAGCATTGCTAATAATCCAGTGCAACATGACAGAACAAAACATGTGGAGATAGACAGATTCTTTATCAAAGAGAAACTGGATGCAGGAATCATCAAGATAACTCATGTGAGCTCTGGACAACAAGTCGCCGATTGTCTGACAAAAGGTTTGGGAACCAGGAGAGCAATCTTGCTTGTGACAAGATGGGCATGATAGATATCTATCATCCCTCTTGAGGGGGAGTGTTGGGCTGTGTCTTATCTGTATTTCAGTGTGTGTGTGTGTGCGCGCGCTTATGGCCCATGTGGCCCATGTGGCCCATGTGGCCCATGTAACCCTGCAGCCTATATATGTGCTGCCCCCTTGTACAGGAAACCCTAACTCCAATAGAATACAATACCAGGCCATCTTTCTATCCCAGCCGCCACCCCTCTCTCCCCTGATTCTACATTATCCAAACAAAACTGCAATCGAGAACGATGGATCATTTAGAGCAGTCGTGATCCATTGCATTACAAAGTTGGTTCAAGATCAAAAAACTCAAGAAGAGACTATTGATGAACTCGACAAATACCAAGAGGAGGATTCCTTTGGAATGGACATTGCCGTACGGCAGAGAAGAAGGAAAACCTTTGATCCATGTAAAGCGTTGTTGCTGAAATCTTGTGATGTTATTTAATATCACTTTCTTTGTTCTCCTTCTTATACTTCTCTAACTAATAATCTATTGATGTCTTAAAACAGCTAAATGGTGGTTGAATTATGGCACATGTGCACTCAAGTTGAAGAAGATTGCAATGAAAATTCTCACGTTGACATACAGCTCCTCAGCTTGTGAGAGAAACTGGTCAGCATTTGAAGAAGTAAGAACTGCAACTACAAAATATAGTTCATTTCTCTTCTCACATTGATACCATGTGTTCCATACTTGATTTTCTTCCACCTACACAGGTTCATAAAAAGAAGCGCAGCAGGCTATTCCATGATAGGATGAGTGATCTTGTCTTTATCAAGTTCAACTCTAGGATGAAACATCTGAAAGAGAACAAGCGTAGAGATCCAATAGAGAAGACAATCATGGATGTTCTCGAGGATGAAGACAATGAGTTCATCACCGGGATTGTTCCCAATGACAATGTTGATGAACATGTTGGCAATGAAGATCAAGCCCAACAAGAGAGAGCTTCGACATCACAAGCACAAAGAAAAAAGAAGATGGGGCCTACTGCACCCCCTAAAAAGAAGAGGAAGAAGAGCATCCATTCTCTCCTTAATAGCATCGATGAAGAAGCTATCCTTTCCGCCTCTTCCAATTCTTCTTCGGAATCAGAAGATGAGTATCCCTCTGCCCTAGCTGACTCAGATTAATTGCATGGATGCCAACCAAATCACTTATGTTATGTGTGCAAGTGTGACTTGTCAAGTTAGTTCTTAGTTGGTTGAACTTCTGTTGCTTCGGCGGGAAGCCAAACTTTGCTTTGATTTGTTATGTAATGACTTGCTGGATGTTGACTTGATGGCTTTGTTATGTAATGCCAAACTTATGAACCATGTCCTGCATTTTGAATTTGTGATGTGGTGCTAACTTGTTATATACTTGTATGTAGCTGTTCTTTGCTTTGCATTATGATTTATGCCTTCCTGGTTGCTGCTATAGTGTAGTGTATGATATTCTTCTACTGATTTGGCTGGATGCTAACTGATTTGCTGGTTGCTGCTATAGTGTGCGGTCAATTGTCAAGTATATATTAATTTCATGCCTGATTATATGTTTATTTTTTCCCAAATGATAAGTGCCACACGTGTGGCACGAAGTAACACCGCCCTGACGTTTTTACACTAAAGTTGCCATTCGAGAAAAAAATACAAACCCATGCTCCACAACTAAAGTTGCCATCCTCTTGTAACTAAAGTTGCCATCAAAAAACGTCAGGGCAGAATTGCTTTGGGGCACTTATCAGGGTCCTATTTTTTTTATTAATTTAGCTGAAACGCTAAATGGGGCATGGCACGCTATAGCTGCGCTATGCGCTATAGCATTCACACACTTTAGCCGAGCCGATGCTAAGAAGCTTAGCGCGCTATTTAAAAGTTTGACTAAATGCCATGGGTCACAACTATACTGGATCAGGACCTCAGCGTACACAGTTGAAGCAATTCCTGAACAATTGAAACTCCACGGCACAGTTCCATGGTTCCAGTCCACAACGGTTCCTCCGTCTTACCTACACTAAATCAGGGGCCACAGTAATCGAAGGGCTAAACAGCAAGCCGGATCCCTCTTTCAAGAGCAGGGACTCCACCGTTATCTCTTAAGACAAGGTCGCAATGACGATGGCATTGCTGGAGCGGCCTCCACGTCACACTCAGCTATCCGCCACTACCTACTGCCCTTGCACTGATCTGAAGCCTCCTCTACTAAAAGCCATGGGTCACAGTTACACTGGATCGGGACCTAAGCAAAGCAGCTGAAGCAATTCCCAAACAACTGAACATCCACGGAAGGCGAGAGCAGGCAGGGGCAGTGAATAGCCTTACAGTGTAGTTGCCGGGGTTGAGGTGGATGGCGTCGGCGGTGAGGCGGAGGGCGCGGGGGCTGCGCTCGCCGGCGGCGTAGAGGGCGCGGAAGTAGTCCATGACCTCGCGGAAGTCGCCGCGGTAAGCGATGGAGACGACGGGGCAGGGCCCGTCGGCCTGCGGCAGCGGCGCCACGTCCGCCAGCTCCGGGCGCCGGCTCGGCGGCACCCACTGCTCCTCCCCCTCCTCCCCCGACGACGACCCCATGGACGCTCTGCTCTGCTCTGCTCTCGCGCGCGCGTGCGAGATGGAGATCTAGGTTTTCTCCTCTCTCTCTGCTTTTTTTTTCGTTCGTGGGGGTACTATGCGGTGGACGTCACAGCGAATCCAAAGTTTTCCGTGCGTGCCCGGAATCGGATGCTCTTCGGCTTTTTGGCCGTGGGGAAGTTTTCCGGTTTGGGTAGACTGGCTCGGAGCTGCAACAACAGAAGCAATTTTCCCGGTCTGGGATGCTCAAGAGTATCACGAGCCCGCACACGTCAGCACAACCCAAGCCAAACATTCGTGCGAGCGCCCCACTGATCACACGTTCCAAACCACCAAAAAACCGGCACGGCACAAATTCAAGAATCTCTATGTGGGCAAATTCATGAATGTTAGTGTCTCTTTGAGTTGTAGGACCTACTTGTCAGGGCTGACGTGACGACAAAGTCAACTCCGTTTATTTTAACCGTTATATTTACGGTTATTAAAGGTGAGGCCCACATGTGGACATCACCTTCTTTCCCCTCCTTCTTTTTCTCTCTTATATTTACGGTTATTAAAGGTGAGGCCCACATGTGAATGAACACCTAGAATAGCAAGACCAAAGAAAACAAGAACCACAAGTATGCATTTTAGAAGATTTTCAACTTCCATAAATGCTCCCACTAGTTGGACTAATATCTTCTCCATGCATTCATTGTTGATTTGCGGATTATTGATTTTGCATTCTTCTTTCTTCATCTTTGGTTCGAAAGAAGTCGGCGTTGCTTCCCCTGTAGTTGCACATGCAGCCGCATCATTGCCTTCGACTGTACTAAGGAGTGCACTAACATCTATTAAATTTCTTTCTATCAACAAATCAATGTATTGGTCTTCCCAAAACCAAAATGAGCATCCATCATCCTACACACAAAAAATGAGCAAGCTCGAAGTGAGCTGCCGCAATTGAACTAAAGAATGAACTATAAAATGAGCTACCGCAAGTGCACGTGCCCCCGTTGTTTTCGCATTTGAAGAACACCCATCCGAGGTGCTTCGGCGTGCCCGAAGTGAGCCGCAGCACTTTCCGCGTGCAGTCGTCGCACTCTATGAGCGGCATCAGCAAGCCACAAAGACGTTGCGTGAGCGCCGAGCCCGGTGGACGGTCGGACGAGTACATGCCCGCAAACCTTCGGCGGCGGCAGGCGGATGAACCCGTACCTGCATGCGGCGATGCGTCCTTGCCTGGGCTGCGGGAGAGGCTCCCCGACCACTACATCGCTTGGGGCAGCAAGCGGCGGCCGGAAAAAGCCAAATCCGGCGGCCCGCAATGAAGTGTCGTAGATCTGCAAATCCGGTGGCCAGACGACGCTGGGGGAAGGGAGGGGAGGCCTCGTGCGCGTGGCGGACTTCCGGCTTGCTCCTGCCGGCTGCTTTCGCCGGGATCTTGGTCGGCGGCCGGCGGCGGCATGAGGGGAGAGAGGAGAGGTGGTTGGTGAGGAGAAATCGCGGGATGAAATGTCTCCGCACCAACCGCTTCCGCTTATATGCAGGGCACCGCAGCCGCGAGGTGGAAACCCGCGTTTTCCCGAGTTGGGGTCCGGAGTTTGCTGCGCCCCCTAAAATTTTTTGCGGGCCGGGACGGAATGCGGGGTCTGATCAGGCTGATTTTTTCGTCCCGACCCGCCTTTTGGCGGTTATTTTACGGGTCAGGGTGGATGCGGAGTCTGTAGAGTTGCTTTAAGTGTGTGGCTTGGTGACCGCTCACCATCTTCTTAGTCATCGCCATCCTATCGCTCCATGTGTATCATAGAGCTCTTACTGCTCCTTCTTGCGTAGACGTGGGGCCGCCACCGCTGGCCACTCCTCCCACCGCCACGCATTGTTGCAATTCCTCGCCCCCACCATGGCACCACAGAACTTCTCCTCCCGAGCACCGCGTTGTTAGGCAGATCCAAAAAGCACAACCCTCTAGTGACCTTGATGATGCTCGCCAGCGACGATGGCTTGCCTCCGTAGATGAAATCAACAACTTGAGAGAGGAATAGCAATGAGTGAGAAGAGGGATG